TATAACCCTTTACAGTAGGTGAAAACACGCTATATCGTCATGTAGTTACAGACAATTTTCACTATTAGGGATTACAACAAGTTATTTATTAAAAATATCTGGGTTGACGTTCGAATTTCGAATGTTTCGAGAAAAAAAAGACCCTGGGACAATAGGGCAAGGAAATACCTCGAGCAAAATAAAAATATATTCCGACGAGGACCTCTCGAAATGGATTACGATTGTTCGGAGGGCAGTCGCTGCGCGAAAACGAACACAATAGTTTTGCGGCGTGCTTCGTTCCGAACGTTTACAAAAGCCTCATAATCCGATACACTGAATGGGGGGCTTTCGGCCAATTTGAATACTTCAAAAATTATTTCAATTCTCAAAGGCCGAGTGGAGTGTCAGGTTCGTATTGAGTGGTTGTTGCGACGACGGCCCTTCAATGAACTCGAATTGAAAACAGCATGAATCGTAATAATACAAATATTTTCTACTTCTGCCTCTAAGCGCGTATAATGGATAAGAAATACGCTTTGTGTCCTGGATATTTGAGGTTGCAGAGGCGAAGTGACGCTAATATCTGTGAAATTTATTTATTTTTATATTAAAAATGCGTAAATGGGAAATAAATTAAATAAAGTACAGAGCTGTGAAAATTCCTTTTTTTAAATTTATGACTTTTCGTGTTTTTCTTTCTTGTGCTAATAAAAATAATGTTTAAATAAACCGAGATTTTCAGTCATTGATTCTTTTAATGTTAATAAAAACCTTACACCTTAAATTATGCAGAATTAAATGTCAGATCGAAATTATTGGACATTTTTGGATGACAAAAATATTTTACCATCAAATCAAAGTGGCTTCAGCAAGAACTTCAGTTGTGAAACGGCACTCGGTACGATCAACCACCGTCTTCTTATAGCAATTCTTCGGAGTTCGGAGTTTTTTTGTCAAGAAGGATCCAAAAAGACATATATAATAATCATCTTTCGCATTCTAGAGATGTCATGTCTGGAGTAGCCCAAGGATCAATTTTAGGACCTGTTATACGCGTAAGCTGGGCGCATTTGGTAGATATTGGAAACCAGGGTATTATGCAAGGAACTATTTACTGGTCATGGATATGATCAACAAAGACATATCTTCCATACCAACTCTCTTGAGGTAAATGCCAAAAAAAAAAAATAATTTGATGACCTCTGTATTTTTTTTTGTATTTTGTTAAATTATGCTGGAAACTAAAGACATTTATTTTTTATTTATTATTTAAATCAGCTTTCGAAACTTTAATAATTGTTTTGCTGTGAAATGTGGTAGATAAATTAAATAAAGTTATATATAGTTTTTATTCTTTTACTTAAGTATTTGCCATGGGCAACTGTGCTATGTGTAATCTGTGTAATCTGGGACAATTTTTGGAGTGTTTCCCAATTACTTTTTTACTTTTTTACTACACTTTCGCCTAGGAATGGTTTGCGTTAAATATATTAAAAATATCCGACGAGCCACAGACGAATACAACAAGAAATTAACGAAATAGTTTCGAGCTATTTTTTACAGTAATTACACTCACGGAAACTGCAAATCACAAAATCTGAACAAAACCAGACACATTACCTTCCTGTCTGTTATTGCTCGGTTTAACGTTGCCTATCCGTTTCCTTCGATGGTATAGTCCAGCACGCAATAAATGTAGGTTCACTGAATAGTGCCGAAGTGACAATATTTACGATTTTATTATCTTGGTGTAAAACTCTTGCATAGTGTATGGTTCGTTTCTGACTAGAATAATAAAATTTGCATTCTTTAAGATTTTACCAGTCTTAATTTTTTGTATCTATTCCATGAGGTTATCGGATATTTTTATGCACTGGTAATAAGGATCCTTTTCAGTCGCCATAAGTCGATAATGAGGAAAACTGAAATTCTGTGTGCGTGTTACAGTACAGTTTGTGATTCGCTAGGAGTAAAAAAGGAGCTATGTTCTAAAAAGTAATCGACACACTCTTGTGTCAACACTGAAATTACTGTTAAGCCATTAAATTCTTTGAACTTTCCTATGCAAGACTTTCGAGACTTTCTAGTGTTCTGGTTGCACGCTTTGAACATAGTATAAACTGTGTTAGGTAATTAGGTATTTTACAGAAGGGGGTAGAAAAATACTTTTTCAATATCTTTGAAACTTCCACACAGCATTTTCATTTTGTTTTTTATAACCCGAAACTGGTAACATATCCCGTTAAGTTAACATATTGTCCAAAAAGAAAACCGAAGAATTTGTTCTTATTGCTTAGCACAGCGATTGATGTTTATCGTTCTTGGTTAAGCTACTTTGACCTTGTAAGTGTTGTTTTGTTATTATTAACAACTATTTTTTTTTTTTCATTAAAACAATGTTCAACTGTTTTCTTCATAAAGCTCGTGGCGATTTTCTTTAACATATTTATATCATTGTATCGTCAGCGTGGTTCGTATAAGAGCTTTTACCCTCAACAAAATGAGCAATAAACTAAAACAAAAATATATTTTTTGCTGTAGGTCTTCTGAATTGGGAAAAAAATTCTCTTTTCCCTCTAGCAAAAAAGAAGTATTGCAAGAGTTCCCTAGTAAAAAAATAAAAAAAACAATTATTTGAAGTTATAAGCACCAAATCGTATGATAAAACTTAGGTAACCCCCTTCCATTGCGATTTGAATCCTATTGAAATAACATGTACCCAATGAAATAACAAAGATTGACGCAACCCAAAAATGTCCGCCCATGTAACTGATGTAATTAATACTAGAGAGCAGTTGGGAAGAATGTGTTGATAATGTAATTGAAAATAATCCTTAAAAAAACTTGGGGTAACGTAGAACCGTTGATTATATCCCTGGTGGATGTGATAGCACACATGCAATCCATGTAATATTTGTCCGACTCTAGCCCTTTGGTATTGCTCAAAATTCGTTGAAGGAATTTCAAGCAAACGTACGCTCTATATACTTTTTAAACGGATATGCTATCTGACAATCTTAACGCACAGTTTTAGAATGTAATATCTTCATGGGAGGTAGGCGGGTGTCGGATACTATCCTTATCTAACACCTAATCTAGGAAATGCGCGAACCATTATTATAAATGTTCTATTGTTCTTGTTTAGATGGCTGATTGCGATAGTCTACGTTTATTTGGGCAAACATTTAGGCCTCGGTTAAATTTCGGTCGATAAAAATAATATCTATATTGTTTAATTTATCATTTTTTTAAGTTTTGAGCAAACATTTTTTAAATTGTACATTTTAAGACTTCAATTACGACTGCGATAAAATATGTTTGGCATTTTAGAGGAGATTTTTTGGTGTTAGTGTTATTTATTGTATTGTTTTAGTATTTTCATACTGTTCATGGCATATTTGGCACATTCTTACGTCTGTGTAATATTTATTAAAACGTTGTTAGTACCGATGGTATTTTTGTTTTGTTTTTTTTTGTATTTGTTCAAAACACAAGTTATCCAATTTTATTTTTATGTTTATTTTTTTTTACCATCACCCCGTTACAAACGGAAAGTTACAATTACCAAAAAAATGCAAAATCTTAAACAAAAGGGTCCTATTTAGCTTCCGGATCACTATTATCCTCTCCCCCTTCCTTCCAAGGCTATTCTTCTCGTTTCTTCCTTCTTCTAGATAGCTTTGTTCCCAAACAAAAATACACATACTTTGCTAAGCCGTTTTTTTAACTAACTATATTCTATTCTTCTTCTTCCTTCCTTCTTCTAGATAGCTTTTTTCCCTAAATAAAAATACACATACTTTGCTAAGTTAATTTTGTAACTGGAAAATATCGCAACTTTAATCCTAATCCTAATTCTATTCTATTCTATTCTTCTTCTCCCTTCCTTCTTCTAGATAGCTTTGTTTCCCAAACAAAAATACTTATACTTTGCTAAGCTGTCTTTACAACTGGAAAATATCACTACTTTTATCCTAATCCTAATTATATCCTATTCTATTCTTCCTCTTTTTTTCTTCTTCTAGATAGCTTTGTTCCCTAAACAAAAATGCACATACTCTGCTAAGCTGTTTTTATAAGTGGAAAATATCACTACATCAAAGTCTCCATTCATCAGAATTTTCTGGAAAAGTAAGTTCTTGAAAAAGCCCGGCATCTTGTCTTGTTCGAAAATATGAGACTCTTGTAGTTTTATCTAACAAATGCCACTGTTTTAATCTTGATCAGTGCAATTGTGGTTTAGATTTTTATAGCCCCAAGTCTCTAACAAGATCATTTAAGTTTTTTTAAGTAAATGAGGTCCTTTTGGTGGACTTGAAGATCCAGATAAAGTGTATGAAGCTGATGATGCACAGGCATAAATAAAACCACGAGGAATTGGTATCTTTGCAGATACGATGTTCGGATGTATACTCTTTTTTTTTTCGAGAATCCTCGTGTTGAGGTCTTGCAGAAATAACAATCATTTTTATGATTCTGAGGTTCACTCCAAGGCATTGGCTTTGTGAACGACATAGATTTGTGACTTCTGACGTTCTTGAGGAAATGTTAAGACCTCTCATGGATAGAAAATCCAAAATAAAGCTGATAAGCTCTTTTAATAAGGTCGGTTATGGTATTTCACTGCATTTTTAGAGTAAACTTATTACAAATGTAGCAAAAACAGTCTGTAGAAATCTTACAAGTTCGCGGTATTCTATAACCCAAAATTAAATAAAACTTATTTTAGAAAAATTTTCAAAGTGCTATTTCATATTTATTGGCTCTGTTCGTGAAAAAATATATGAACTACACATGAAATACTTAAGAAAAATATAGAGAATATGAACGTTATGCAAAACTTACCAAAATATTTAATATACAACGTGAACAATTGAAAGACAAAAATATCATCCAGCGGGAACATATTCAGAGCATTAAAATCTTCATATTTATGATATATTTTTTTTATGGAGGATTTAATTGCAGACCAGTGGCGTGCAGACTGGTTTTTACCTAACGCCATTCGCCATTTCCAGATTGTTCGGGATGAAAAGGTGCGCGAGGTGTCAGGCGACCATCTTGGCGTCGGAATTGGTGATGCGCGCGAAAGACCTGGTGTTCCACGTTCACTGCTTCTCCTGCGAGGTGTGCAACGCGCCGCTCACCAAGGGCGACCATTTCGGCATGCGTGCCGGTTCCGTCCTCTGCCGTCTCCATTTTGAAATGCCGCCCATTGAAATCCCGCCGTCTGGAATGTTCGGTTTCCACCACCCCTACGCTCCGTCCTTTCCTAGTCCAGATTTCCATTCGACGATGCCGCCGCAGGCGGCGCCGCCGCCTCCGTCGGAACCCCCGGTGGGGAAGGTGTCCTTCTTCAATGGGGCGCCTGGTAGCACTCCCAGACAAAAAGGGCGACCCAGGAAGAGAAAGCCCAAGGATTTGGAAGGGATGACAGCTAATTTAGGTACGTCTTTACCGATTGTTTCTGCATTGTCACCATTAATGTTGTTAATTAGTTTTGGCAAATTTTGGTCCTTGCCTTTACCTGTCAAAATTGACACTTTTAATAAAAAATAATTTAGACAATTTAGAAAATATCATTCAGGAACATCATCTGAGTAAAAGATTTCCTTAGTGGCGTTTTCGATGATGTTTTTGCTTTTTTGCTGGAACGGAAAGACAACTACTGTCCTTTTTGAATTTTATTTAAACTTTCTTATCTTTACTGTAAATAAATTACAGAACGAATTAAATTTTTCCATTTACCATGGATACGATAATACATAATAACTCAGGTCATAATCCCACACACACAATGGTTCCCTTTCATTCTTTTCTTTGCAGACTACTTAATATTTTCTTGCTTGCAACAGCAGATTTTGAACAAAAATTATATATTATAAAATAGAAATCTTTCAACAATCCTTACGACAAATATTTATAACTAAAAAACAGTTTTATCAAGTCTGAACTCCATCCATCACATATTAAATACCGAACCCAAAATTTATAAAATAATAAAAAAATAAAATACTAGAATATTATGAATTTGTTCTTAGGATTGTTTTTAAAACTGAAACCACCATAGGAAACATTTCAAAAAACTCAACAATTCGGAGTCTACAAGTTTTATCAGACGAACATCTCAAACCATAAAGAAACGCATTAATAAACATAAAAGAGCGTATAAAAATAAAAAGTCAGATTCTAATTGTGCCATTTATTTTCAAATGCACAGGTTTGACTATAATTTTGATATTTTGCATAATGAATAAAAAAGCAAAAAACTAAATTTTTCTGTAGTCCTAACATATTCGAATCTAACACTTAATGACGGATTGGATTTAAATCGGTTTCCATTATTAAATTTAATTTTTAACCCTGCAACGGTAATTATGAATCTATTACTATAACACGACCAAAAATGTAGTGCATTTATTGCTTTCACGTTTTACGTATTTTACAGTACCTTAACCGCAGACCTTCGACGTTGGTAAACCCATCCCAACAGATGTTTATTCTGCATTCAGTAGGTCCTGCCTGAGATGGACCGTAACGAATGTTTGTTGAAACTTTAAATTTTTATTTGAAACGTAAATGGACCGTTTTAAATTTGATTTTCAAATAAGTAGAAGTGCTGTTATCCGGCATTCGTAACAGTATCCACGACCTTCCCCTCTCTCTTATACTCTTTGAGTTTAATCTAAATTGCAATATGTTCGTTTATACTACGTAGGTGATCCTTACTTATGTGCCTGTAAGTTAAGGTAAGGTAAGGGTAAGTACCTGTACTCTATTTATCTTACAGGTAAGTTTGAAAATACTCATTTTTGTCTTGTGTATCTGTCGATTAACAACATTCTTCTTCTTGTATTTTTATGTCTTCCACATAGTTCTTCGATTTGTAAACAACTATAAACTATAGATTATATTCGGGGTAGATAAAGATAAAGATAAAGTCATAAGAATACAGATAAATATTTTTCTAAAATCTTACAATTAAACATTTTTTGATGTTTTCTATTTTCTAACACTTTCAAATGCGGAGACCGCGGAATGAAGTAGATGTTTCCCTATTAGAGGAAGACATGGAAAACAACGCAGAACTTGAAGGCGAACTGGAGATGGTAGTCGAACCTAAAAACGGATCAATTTGTCTTCAGATGCTTAACAAATTGTTTTGAGTGTTTAGAATTTTATAACAAATTCAGTAGCACGGGCAATAAGAAACAAGTGACATGACCAAAGTTCCGAAGTCAATTGTAAGAAAATGTTTTGCAAATTGGATAGTGACAGAAGATGCTGCACGAGTTTTTAGGGAACAACACGCAGATCTAATTAGGCATATCAAGTAAACACTGTTTTAACCTTAGAAGAACTGCATAAAAAAGTACAAAGAGTGGTCGCGTACTTTTTTGAAGAAAACAGATTTTCAGTTTCAAACAATTAATAAACGTGACGACAGTAGCGATAGTGACGATTTTTTAAGTGACTGATACTTTATTATTATTATTATATTTAATATTTTGTATATTAATAATGTAATGTAATGTAATAAATTGTTACTTTGTAATATTTTTTTTACGTACATGTTTCATGAATTGCTCGGCGAAAAAGATTGAAAACATACTTATATCCCGCTTGTTGTGTAAGTAGATAATTTGCTAGGACGGTCCTGGAAAAGCACTATATTTCTGGTCAAAGTATACCTGTTTTTATATATAGGTGGCGGAAAATTTTCATATTTTGTACTTGATAAAGGTGTTGTCGAAACGCATTTAATTTTCTCTTTGCTAACTTTTATCTCTATTCTGTTTCTTCTTTCTTCTATTGGTTATACAGTCTTTGAAGACCTTTGTACCGCTGTCTGAGCCGATTTTGTGTAGAGTTGTTTCTTTCACTCCTGATTTCGACTTTAGAATGCACATTTTTGTCAGGTTTGTTTGTTGTCCTTCTATAAGGTTAGTCTATTTAATTGAATGTTGCCTAGAATCTGTAATTTTGGCATACCTTCTGCGGACCTTTCACGGCCTCCTTCCACTCATCTTTTTCCATATTTGTCATAATTATTCCCATTTCTTTAAGAAGTTCGCACTGAACGCGTTCTTTTTAATTTTTCCATTGTCCTCTGTGTTTAGTAACTCCTGAAAATATCTCGTCGATCTACTATTTTTTTTTTTTGCTTTTTCCCTAAAAAGACACTTAGAACTAGTAATCTGTAGGGATCTGTAAATAAATAGTAGAACAGATTCTTTATTTTCGTCCGAATTTGAACTTCTAATAGGTCGCGAATCGTCCTGTATACACGTCGACGTGTTTCCGTGCAAATAAAATGGGTATCCGCTCCGCGTAAATCGTTTTATTACCATATGGCAAAGGGACGCCGTAATTTTTTCGAATGCCTTTTTCGTTTTGTCGTGTCGGACATGTTTCCCCGTATATGGACGGAATCGTTTCTAGTATTCTTCGGTAGCCGTGTCCGCTAACCGTCGCTGAAACACCCACCGAAACCGAGCGACAACGTTCTCAGGTAAAACGTATAAAAGCAACATTCTTTCTCTATACAAGCAACTTTTTTTAGTTAAACTGTTCGATATAAGGTAAGTTTAGAGTTGAGTTTAGGCCAATTCAGAAGTAAAATCAGCTGTTCATAACAACATAACCTCAAATTGTATAAAAACTGTTATTGGAATATGTTTATGTTTTGTAATGCCAGTATTGAAGTGAATTTTTGTTAAATAGAATAGTTACTAGTATTCCGATAGTTTCTGATAATTAATTAACTAATATTTAATATCCATTTTAAAGGACATTGGAAATGGTAAGGAAACGAAGTAGAGTAAGAAAATAAAGAAAAAAGAAAATAAAGAAAATTTACAAGAATATGTATCCGAAACGTACGTTAATCAGATTAGGAATGAGCCAATGAAGGCAATAAAATATAGTAAAATCGACGATAGTGTTTTCTTGGCTCTTGAAATGGCGACAATTAAACTATGTAGTTACAAATGAAATGATAAAATTAAAAGCACTCGAAGTAAATGGGTTAAATCACGGACCTGAAACATTTGTAGCAAGTGATGGGTGGAACCAAAGGTTTATTAAAAAAGATGCTGGTTTCACTGAGCTTTTGGGTTCTGGTTTGACTATCTAATGACGTAAATATTATTTCAATAAAAACGGCAAATAAATTCATGTTTCTGATCTCATCAAAACTTTTATTATTGAAGAGTAGGAATTTAACGATGGTTATTGCTTTGGAACATTGTTTATAAGTTTGTATTTTTGAAATCGGGTGAAAAAGGACTTTCATCTTAATGTTAATGTAATAACGTTCCTTTTAATTTCCTTTTTTATACATCTGTGGCGCTCATTTCTTTTTATTGGTACGTTCAGGGAAAAAATCATACAGCTTTTGTATATAAAGCTTTTTGCTCGCTTTAATAAACTCTACAGATGGGTGTCCACATAGAAATGAAAACTCTGTACGTTCAACAGATTTAAATTTGCTTCGGGTCGTTTGATTTCTCTTTTTTTCATAGGTTTTATCAATAGTCTATTGTTTTACAGCAGTTTTTTGTTTTCTTTCCAAATTTCTACAGCATTAAAACCAACATCGAACTAATCAAAGTTTAAAATCATCAAATTTACGCGTAAACCGTTACTAATTTCTTGCTCCAATATCGGTAAAACGAGCACGGTCGTAATATAAGCAATTTTTTTTTTAAAGAAAAGTGCAAATAAGATTTCGTTGATCCGAGGCATCTGTTCGATCAATTAACGTAGCCCATAAAATAACGTTCCCGATTTTACTGCGAATATTATACTGTTAATGGGACAGATAGTTGTCGGTTTAAAAACTTCATTTTAATTAGCGCCCATAAATTTATGTCGAAGCGTTATAGCAAGAAAAAAGGTTATTAACATTACCCCGGGTTGGGACGGGGTCGTACCCCATCTACAGGGTGTCTAATGAAATTGTATAATTCTCTAATATATCGTAATTTTGGGTCCAATTACAAAAAAGCTAGTGAATAACAACTTACACGATTATTGATGTTTTATTTAAAAATTGAAATTACTGATTTTATTTTCAGAAGCAAAAATGTATTTCAAATATGTTTTCACAAATTAACATTATTTTTTCGTATTTTACATATTTTATGTTGAGAATTTTCGAAACAAAAATTTCACTTTTATACGGCAAATTTATTTTGCATTTAATTTAAATTTTTTTGCCCTGTAAAATTTCCAAATACATAACATTTTAATTAAATACATATTTTTAAAAATTAATATGAACTGTTACCCAATTATGTAAAATTTAGTTAATATTTGATTAAGTAATAAATGTTTAGAATGTTAATTTCAGTTTTTACAAAAAAATTGTTCAAATCCAATTAAATCATTACACCATTTAAAACTGGGAATTATAAGGAAAATGTCTATTTAAAAAGGATATTT